GATTCCTGGTTGATGGGACAGGTGTTGTGAATGAAACGGTGCCCAGCTTGAAAGAGCTCCTCTGTGTCTCTGAATGTGTACATTGATGACTGAAAGTCATCTTCTGCCTACCATGCAGTACTTCCGTGGACCCCCTAGGGGTCGCCGACCCCCTGTTGAAGACCTCCGATTTAGATCATGTTGCAATGTTATGCTGCTAACATAGTGTAACACACTGGCATGCGCAGGACCCCAGCAAATCTGGTACTGACACCGGTGCTAATATTTAACCATCAGAAGCGGCCAAATTAGTAAACAGAGTCTAGGTATTTATAAGTCAGAGTTATAGAAAGAGCTGAACATGACCCTGAACCCATCATCCTCACAGCAGAACATGGTGGCAGCAGCATTATGCTGTGGGGATAATGGTAACTAAAGTAAACCATGAATTATGCTTTTTATTTCACAGTTATCACTATCCAGAACTCCGCCTGTGGAATCGTTTTAGCATCTGCTTAAGTTGCTTTGCTTTTGTCTGTCACATAAACTCAGTATAAAAAAGAAAAGTAAAGCCTGTAGGTGTGAATACTTTTGCCAGACAATATATTTATGAGCTTAAAAAGCTAAAAACCACTGTTATTATGAAACTGACAGAAATCGTTTAGCTTTCCCGCATCTTTAATCAGGTGTTTGATGATTAGGTGCTTTTTTTACTGCTTTTGTTGGAGAAAGTTTTTCATTTTCATTTTTGTTTCAAAGTCAAACCAAAATTATAACAAGTTTGACAAATGGATTTATTCTTCCTGCCTTGATTGAAAGATAAATGATGAGATGACCAAAGTGCAGCGACCCAAACCGGTTCCATCATGAAGCACCAACAGATCCGGTTCTGCTTCCTCGCATCTCAGCAGAATCTCTGTGGTTGTTAAAGTCTGAACTGGTTCTGGTTCTGCTGTGACAGATCCAATCTGATTCCACACGTTCAGACTGTAGGAAACGCTTAAAGGCAGACTGTGTGTTTCCCTGCAGGCTGCCCGTCAGGCTTCTACGGGTCTCAGTGTTCTGAGGTGTGCCGGTGCCAGAACGGAGCCGACTGCGACCACGTCTCGGGGCAGTGCTCATGTCGGACCGGCTTCATCGGGCCCAGCTGTGAGCTCAGTGAGTCTTCAGCTGCCCTGTTTCCCATCAGCTCTGTCAGGATGCATGCGTGACCTCGGCTGCTGTTTTCCAGAGTGTCCTTCAGGAACGTTTGGATACGGCTGCCAGCAGCTGTGTGAGTGCATGAACAACGCCACATGCGACTACGTGACAGGAACCTGCTACTGCAGCATCGGCTTCAAAGGGATCCGCTGTGACCAGGGTGAGGACTGGCAGGCTTGATCTGCGGCAGCATCCTGAAACACAGAAAGGATGTTTGGTGCATCATTCCACACTTGAAGGAAAACCTTAAATCTGCTAATGCACGGCGGTGGAGGAGTCATGCTTTGGACTTGTTTATACCATGTAGTCCCTAAGTAGAATAACGTACCTCTCCTTAGCTTGTTATTATAATATTGTAGCTTGAGCTTTAACTGGAGAATTATAGCAGAACTGTTTATCAAATAAAACAGTGACTTTAATTGAAGTAGTATTAAGATCATCAAACGAGCTTGAATCCAAACTAAAATGGCTTTGATCAGGAAAGTTTCGTTCCAAATTAAATCCTGCTGTTTTTCCTCAGCTGCTCTGATGATGGAGGAGCTGAACCCCTACACCAAGATCAGCCCGGCGCTGGGGTCCGAGCGCCAGTCGGCGGGCGCCGTCCTCGGCATCATCTTCCTGCTGCTGCTCATCATGGCCATGCTGGCGCTGGTGGTCTGGTTCCGGTTCCGACAGAGAGAGAAAGGCCAGCAGGCCCCCAGCGTCACCTACACCCCCGCCCTGCACATCAACTCCACCGACTACTCTCTGTCAGGTAGGCTATGTCCGGTTACACCTCATCTGTTCCCCTCTCCCTCAGCAAGTCATTTGGGTCAGAACCAGACCCAGGATCTCAAGGCTGGGTTTCACTGAAGACCTGGAAGACGTTACTCCTAATTTCTCACAGTTTTCTGCTTGTTTTAGTGGTTCTGTGGTGGTTTGGGTGCAGACCTCCTGATCAGGTCCTCATTTCTGTGTTTTCCTTCCAAAATGATCTTAATTAACGTTCTGCTGCTTCTCAAACACTGGAAAAAAATCCAAATCTAGATAAGTCATTTTTTCCTAAAATAAGTGCATTTGTTCTTGGATTTAAAAGGTAAAAGAGACATCTTGCCAATTTACATTTAAAATAAGAAAACACAATCCCATTGTATTATTTCAAGTCCATTTTATCTAATTATCTTATTTTAAGAGTAAAAATACTCATTCCATTGGCAAATCATATCATTTACCTGCTCTAATTAAGGGTAAATACTTAATTTAAGACATTTTTACTTATTTCTAGATCGTTTTTCCAGTGAAGGTTTTCTTGTCCAGAGCTGCTTCTCTTCGGTTGTAGTCCAGTTCTTAAGCATCCGTAGAGGAGATGGTTTTATACTGTTTTTATTTTGGTGGACTGGAAGTACAACAGAGCAAACTAAGGTCTGATCAGAGATGTTGCTCCTGTGGTTCCATGGTGACGTTCTAGAGCTGTAGATGTTAATGCTTGGTGGCAGCAGGGCTGCAGTGTGCAGGTCTGCTCTCCTCTGCAGACTCCTCCACCGGTAACAGCGCCGCAGTCGGCTGCTTCTCCAACCCCAGCTACCACACCCTGGGGCCGTGCACGTACGCTGCGCACTACGCCAAGCCAGACAAGAAGGTGGGTGGAGAACCGAAACCCCACTGACACCTCCAGCTCCTCTCTAAGTCCCCTTCTAGTTTCCTCTCTTGGTTCCTCTGTAAGTTCCTCTTAATGTCCCTCTTTAGATCCCTCTCTATGTCTCTCTCTAAGTTCCTCTCTAGGACTCTCTCTAGGTTGGTCTCTAGTTCCTCTCTAGGTTCCTCTAGGTTGCTCTGTAGGTTCTTTTCTAGGTCTTTCTCCAAGTTACTCTCTAGGTCCGTCTTTAGGTTCCTCTCTACATTCCTCTCTAGGTCCCTCTGTATGTTCCTCTTTAGGTTCCTTTGTAGGTTCCTCTCTACATTCATTTCTAGGTCCCTCTCTAGGTCTCTCTCTAGGTCCCTCTCTAGGTCTCACCTAGGACCCTCTGTATGTTCCTCTTTAGGTTCCTTTGTAGGTTCCCCTCTAGGGCGCTCCCTAGGTCCCTCGCTTGGTTCCTCTGTAGAACCCTCCATGGTCCGTCTCCAGGTTACTCTCTAGGCCCCTCTTTAGGCCCCTCTTTAGGTTCCTCTCTCGATTCCTCTTAAGGTCCCACTTTAGGTCCCTCTCTAGGTTCCCATCTAGATCCCTATTTAGGTTCCTCTCTAGATCCCTCTTTAGGTTCCTCTCTAGGTTCCTATTTAGGTTCTTCTGTAGGTTCCTCTCCAAGTCCCTCTCTAGGACTCTCTTTAGGTTCCTCTCTAGGCTACTCTTTTGTTTCCTCTCTAGGTTCCTCTCTAGGTCCCTGTCTAGGACTCTCTTTAGTTTCCTCTCTAGGTTCCTCTTTAGGTTCTTCTGTAGGTTCCTCTCCAAGTCCCTCTCTAGGACTCTCTTTAGGTTGCTCTCTAGGACTCTCTTTAGTTTGCTCTCTAGGTTCCTCTTTAGGTTCTTCTGTAGGTTCCTCTCCAAGTCCCTCTCTAGGACTCTCTTTAGGTTGCTCTCTAGGA